GGGGCCCCCTACCCCTCCTGCCCTGACTAGGACTAGGCCGCAGAGCCTGCATAGGCCAGTGGGCCATATTTCCCCTGATACAGGGGCAGCATACTTTGGGACTAGGCCAGTGGGCCGTATTTCCCCTGATACAGGGGCAGCATACTTTGGGACTAGGCCAGTGGGCCGTATTCCCCCTGATACAGGGGCAGCCGACTTTGGGACTAGGCCAGTGGGCCGTATTACCCCTAAAAGAGGGGAATTGCACTTTGGGGCTAGACTCAGGTGAGCTGAATTATGCCCCGGATGGGGGCGGCAACCCCAAACCAGGGGGAAGCCCCCCGACAACTTGAAAAGGTAAATGCATCACCTGATTCAATGAATTATTCCTCAGCATCTCAGTGGAAAAAAATTCTAGTAAAATGAGGAAATTTAAAATAGGGATATAAAAGAGTAGTCGAGGTAGTCAAGTTGACTGCTCGCATTTCCCCCCTCCCTTGCTGCCTCTATATTGGAGGCAGCAAGAGCCAGTGTTGGGGGAAGTCAGCTTAAAAGCTGGTTCCCTCCAGCACTGTCTCTGCAGTGCTGGGGCAAGAGGGGCAGAGATGCAGTGGCACTGCGGCTCTACCTTTTAAATTTAGTAAGAGCCACCTGGGATCCGCAGTAGTAAGATGTAGTTAGAGCTGCAGTGCAGGACCTGGTGCGAACCAGGACTAAAAAACTCCCAGCTTGAAGCAGTCCTGGCTCTCACCAGATCACAGACTACATTTCAAAGGCAGAGACACAGCCGTCTGGATCCAGTGTGAGCTGTGATTGCTTCAGTCCTGGCTTGCACCAGGTTCTGGACCTACCCCTGCTGTGGCTCTTCGTTTAAATGTAGCAGAGACGCAGCTGCCCCTTACTGACTAATCCTGTATTCCATGCAATTTTTATCAAGTACATAATTAGTTGTTTCTTCACTTCTTAACATTGTTAATATCAAAATCTATGACATGAGATATCAAATGCCAATGTGTACACAATGATCATATTTACTTTTGGTTTATATTTTTAGTGTCAGGGAAGCTCCAGAGCTTCTTTCTATCTCTGATAAATTTGTGTCTTTTAGAAAGATAAATGAGAGAATCAGACGCTCACTGCATGCCCAGCAGGTGACTAAATTCAGAAACAGATGTTACTTTTCAGTCCTTGTGTAATTAATACTGCTTTATAGTGGTTACTGTTATATACAGTTGCCCTTTAGACAATTCCATGTAACAAGTTCAACATCTGGCATACCAGTTTCACTTTGCTGTGTAATTGTTCTTTATATATTTGAATTCACTAGATGCTATTTCTATCTAATTGAAAGTGCCTTTGTTATATACGGTTTTTGTTTGGAGATCCATGATTCAGTAAATAACTTATATTAAGTGTCTTTGTGGCTTGATTTAATAGGTTTGACTTTGAATATGACTATGAGGGTCAAGAAAATATTTCAATATGTCAAGTATAACTAGGCTTGGAAGAATTTGATTTTATCAGAAAATGCTAATAAACAGTTCACCATACAGACACCAAATGAGGAAAATATATTTCCATCAAGAACAATCGAAATGTACAGAGGCAAAGTAAGGAAAATGCTTCTTTAGAGCTTGAGTCAAAATCTAGTGATTTTCATTTTTCTTGCTTTAAGGATATTTGTATATTTTAATGTGATATTTGACAGTT